ACTATAAGATTATTTTTCTTCTATGCATGTGTTTGAACTTCTGAAAACTGTAGTCAATTAAATCAGGAATAATGTTTGAAATCAATTCAATATGAACATGTCACTCTCAATTCAATTTGAAGGAAGTAACTTCTAAAAAATTTGTGAAGAAAGATAGAGCATGGACTGAGTAATGGAGCAATGCAATAGTTAGTCTAGAAAATTCTTGAAAGCAAGAAAATATGCCTTAATATGCAGAAAATTTAAAGCATGCTTTTACATATGAAATATGCATTTATAGAAGTATTGAAACTCCCAAATTTTAGATTATAGAACCTTCAGATTTTCATTTTTATACTTATTTTAAGGAATATTGTCCAAAACTCAAATATGTATTTGCATAAAATCTGAGTCATAGATATTAATTTGTAATTATTAAATGATTTAGAATTACAAATTTAAATATTTAGTACGTAATTAAAAATTTTATCTAAACTTGCATATGCATGCACAAAACAAATACATATAATCTCAAACAACAATCATACAATCATAACAAAAAGTTTATGGAATGAAGTATTTTCAGAAAATTTCTGAACAATAAATACTATAATTTATTTTCATTATGAATATGATATTACAATAAGTTAAACTATTTTTAAAATATACAAAATTTAAATAAATTTAGCAAAATAGACAATACATAGGTTGCTTCTGCATAGTGTCATTGGTTGTGGCTGTGGCTACACCATCACAATCAATTGAACAACTGCTGTTGCAGCATGCTCATGAATGCAAATGAATAAATTCTATATTATCTTGATTTCTTTTTCCATACTGTTCTGATTGTGTGATGATGATAACATCCTCTATTGGTGTACATTTGAACTAAAAATTTTTATGCCAAAAAATCTGCCTACATGACAAGCTTTTTGGTGAAACTCCACTGTAATATGCTGATTTGATGCTTTTTAAGTCTTCAAACTTTTGACATCCTGTATATAAGAACAATGCAGATTCATTCACTTTCGTAGAAATGGCTATGCTTTAAATTAAATTAGACAGTTAAATGAATCATAAATGGCATAAATTAATTTTAGAATGACTTTTGCTTTTGATTTAATTTATGTTAAATTTTGAAGAAATTGTTAGTAATGTTTTAAATTTGAATTGTGGCAACTGGATGGCTAAGGAAGCTAACGTGCATTCTTGATGCTCTGAAATATCCAGGTTTGAATCCAAGTCAGATCCATAGAAATCTTCATGAATCTCTGTCTTTTTCCATTGTCATTTGGCAAAACTTATGTAGGTATGTTTAAAAACTTGTAGTGCTTCCAGGAGGTCAACAAAATTATTTTCTAGTTCTGTTCTGTTATATTATAGTTATGCACAATGAAATAACTTGTCACTCATAACTTGAATGAATTATTAATATCATTTATTTCCTTTACTTTCAATTATTTATTTATGGTTTTTCATTAGAAGAAAAAATAAATAAACCAAAAGAAAAGTAACTTGTATTGTATTCTTTGATTTTATTATTTGTGATGAATCAATCAATAAGGTTTAAATTAGCTACAGTTTGGAATGTTCAAAAAATATATAGTGAGATTTTTAGTTAATATAGATATAAAAAGTGTCCATATTAAGACTGCATAGTGTATATGTTACCGCTAAAGCTCGGAATCCGTTAATGTGTACATTACCTAGCTAATCTCCAGATTAACTAGGGTGATCCGTTAAAGCTGCAAAAATTATTCCATTTCTCAAATTACCTAGGTAATGTTCAGATTATCTAGGTAATCTGCAAATTACCTACTAGGCACTCGGTAAAGTGAAAATAAGATTTTTGCTGGAACAACAGCAACGTTTCTGTACGCTTAAATTAACATAATGTTATTTATTTAATTTTCAATATCTAAAGAATCAAGTTAATACAATCAACAAATTAGTTGATTGAATCAATCATCAATCAATTAAAAAAACTTTAATACAAAAATCAAACGGTTTAAAATATTACTACAATTAGGGAAATGAATTTGCAAAACATATGATAAAATTGTACTTACTTATTAGTGCAATCTAAAGATTGGTGACACTTTGAATTACGTAGCAATTGGTTTTTGCGACAAGCACGCCTATTTGTGGTACATTTAGATTTGCAGTCACATTTTCTGAAACCCTGCCCAGTACCAAGGGATTGTTTTATTGCTGTTTGACGTAAAGATATTTCTACAGCAGGGACATCCATCTTCTTTCGTTAAAAATCTCTCTTTGCAAACACTGAATTCAGATTTTGCATACAATTGTTTTAAAATACCTGTTTTAGTATCAAGTTTATAAAAGCCATCCTCTGTTTTACTAAGAACCACAGCTAAAATTGAACGTGCATCAGTTTTTGCTCTGTCTTCTTCGGGTACTTTAATTCTCACAGCGAAACCTTCATCGACGTTTGGGTGCTTTGCATTAGAAACTGCTAACATTTTCTTTGCTTGCTTTTCTAAACATTTCTTGGCTTCATCACGCTGTATTTTCTGATCCATATTCTTTTTACAGATGATGCACAATACATTCTTACCATACCCTTCCTCTTTAGGATCTACTTCACCACAAACTGCGTGAACAAACATATTACACGATTTACACTTGTGAGCACTTGATGCTGCTTTTGAGCAAACAATACAGACTATGTCTTGTATAGTGCTCTTTACAGGCTCCGTACGAAACTGTGATGGCGATTCTGCTGAAGTTGAGAGTAACTCAGTGATGACTTCTTCAACTTGCAGAGGCGATTCCTTGGAGGTGCAGGGTAACTGAATATTCTTCGTGACTGCATCATCAATCAACGGTATAGAAGGCAGTTTAAGATTACTATCGGTAAATTCTTGTATTTCTATAGGTGATTCTGTAGAAGCGGGGGATAACGGAATGTCCTCTTGAGTAAGATTTGACTGTGATCTCATAATCACAGTCTCTTGTGAATCTTCTAATTTTTCAAGGTCTTCTTCAGTTTTTATCGAATGTCAAACAATTCTCCGGCATGGACAAACTTTTTCAAACCTTTCTCGCGCATCTGACAACGGCTCAATGAGTTTTTCACAGCCTCGTACAGTCAACACATCACACCTTTGAATTATTTGATAATCTCGAGATGATTCTTTCTTCTTGGAAACTTTTATTTGCTTTACATCTTCAATTATGGAATCATACTTTGGTTTGTTATTAAAACACTACGTATTATATTTTAAATCTTCGCTAAAGAGGTTTGCGAAGAATCTTTTCTTGATTTTACTCACCAATTCGGTGCTTGCTTGCATTCTAGGATTTAAATTTATCTACGTAAAAAGAAGGAGTGGGGGAAAGGAAGTGAAAGAAACAAACTTTTGAACTTTAACGATACGGAAGCCGTTAATGTGCAGATTACCTAGATACTCTGCAAATTACCTAGGTAATTTGAGAAATTGAACAATTTTCGCAGCTTTAATGGATCACCCTAGTTAATCTGCAGATTAGCTAGGTAATGTACACATTAACGGATTTTGAGCTTTAGCGGTAACATATAGATACTTTATATAGCATCTTAATTTATTTCAACAATATTAAACCTTTATATTCTTTTTTATTTGATAGAAGTATTTTGCTTGTTATTTTTGTTTGTATTAATAAATGAATTCACAGATTTGCCTAAGGTCTGCCATAGAAAATTTTAAAATATTTGATAAAATTTTTCAAATTTTTTTTAAATTTGAAAATTTTATCAAATATTGAATTTTTTTTTAATTTTAAGAAAATTTTATCAAAAAAATAATAAATTTTTTTTTGTTGGTTTTTGCTATAAGATGCTTGTAAAAGGCCAACCTGGCCACAGTGTCTTTTTGAGAAATGAAATAAAATAAAATAAATATTGTTAAGAAGATACAAATTTTATTATGTAAAGCAAGAACTTGAGATGAGCAATAACTGATTTATTTTAAAATTAATATGAATATGCATTCTTGCATATTCATATTAATTTTTTAAGTTACATTTTTTTAAATAAAAAGTTATTTTTTCATATTAATCTGATATCCATTCCTCATACTGTTCTGTCTAAGATGTTAAAAAATGATTATAAGAGAATAAAATTTATTAATTTTGGTGATATTTTAGTGGAATTTTTGTTTTATATGTTCATAGATTTATTGACAATATTACTTAATTACATAATAAAACTCAAAGAAAAATATCAGTAAATACATTTGCTTTTGTTATTTAGAGATTCTTCAGATTATATTTTAAGTTTCAAAGAACAAAAATGAAAAGCACTTATTGTTCTGGAATTATATGATTTTTTCCAGTAATATTGTCAATAAATTTGTGATATTATACTAAACTTTGATATCAAAGAATGCTTATATCTTTATATTAAAACTATCATTTTACTTAGAAAAAGTTTTTCTGAGTATCTAAAATGTTTTAATGTTTTAAAAAATATATTACTTAAATTTTGTAGTTACAAAGAAATGATGATTAACTGAAAGGTTATTTATATATTACAAAAAAAGACACATAAGGCCTTCCCAAATAATAAAACAAACATCATTATAAAATTAAAGTGCACATTAAATAAATTTTTACACTATTTTATATTTAGTTTTTTAAAATCAGTCTTAATATTTCTGAATAGATGTTGTATTAAAATCATTGATAGTTTAATTTGAAAAAGAAAAATGAAATATTTAAATAAATGACATTTTATTGCATAAATTAGCTATTTAAAACAATTAGATAATTAAAATATCATATTTGAACAGAAAAATATCAAACATAAATTTGGAAAAAACTTTAATGGGTTTTTAAAATAGCTGAAAAATTTTTGTGCAATAAAAAATCATTTGTTTTAAAGATTTTTTTTTTTGTTTGAATTGTGCCAATAGAAGAACTTTTAGTGTTTTGAAAATTAGTGATATTAAACTGTTAACACAGTTAGAATTCTTTTATTTTTTAATTTTAATCATTTATTGAATTTATTAAATTTGCAGACTCATTCTCGAAGTTCTTCCAAACATAGTCACTTGGGAAAACAAAACAGTTCACAAAGCAGCCTGGATGGTTCTTCTCCAAGCTTATCACGAGGTATTAGTGATGATAATTTTAATTATTTGCAATGTATGCTTGATAAATTACTCATATGACTATTACAAAACAAAACAGATATTTCTGGAAATGTTATGTTCAGTTAATTGNAGATAATTAAAATATCATATTTGAACAGAAAAATATCAAACATAAATTTGGAAAAAACTTTAATGGGTTTTTAAAATAGCTGAAAAATTTTTGTGCAATAAAAAATCATTTGTTTTAAAGATTTTTTTTTTGGTTTGAATTGTGCCAATAGAAGAACTTTTAGTGTTTTGAAAATTAGTGATATTAAACTGTTAACACAGTTAGAATTCTTATATTTGTTAATTTTAATCATTTATTGAATTTATTAAATTTGCAGACTCATTCTCGAAGTTCTTCCAAACATAGTCACTTGGGAAAACAAAACAGTTCACAAAGCAGCCTGGATGGTTCTTCTCCAAGCTTATCACGAGGTATTAGTGATGATAATTTTAATTATTTGCAATGTATGCTTGATAAATTACTCATATGACTATTACAAAACAAAACAGATATTTCTGGAAATGTTATCTTCAGTTAATTGATTGGAAGTAAATTATGCCTATTTTTTACATTCATTTACTAAATTGAGAGAATGTTGCTAAGTTTTATTATTATTAAACTAATATAATAAATAGGCTATACAATTATGACATAAACGCAATTAAACTTTTATGTTGTTAATAATATATTAATTTATATTAGTGATATATGAATATGTACAATTATTTCTGTTTTTAATGTTTGTAATGACTTTGTGTGGTGTTTTTAAATCAGCAAACATGCATAATTTAAGATAAAAATAGCACAATTAAATATCATAAATAAGAAATTAAAACATGAAAACAATAAATAAAATACATAAATACTGTATAATAAAATGAAAATTGCATTTACTATACCTTATTGAGTAAGGTATAGTAAATGCAATTTTCATTTTTGCTGGTTTTTATCATATAGAAATATCTGATTTCATAGTCTCCCCAGATAGACAGACATGTTGGACAATCCGTGAAAATATGGTAGAGTCTCGAAAACTCGGCCTAATGTGGACCGAAGGGTGGCTGAGTTTGTGAAAATGCCGGGTTATCGGGAATGGGGTTAAAAAAAATAAGTATGAGTGTTTCCTCAGAAAATACTGTACTGTACTTGTATGTATTGTTTACTTGAGAATACAATAGAGAATAAATTGCCCAAATACCCTTAAACAAAGAAAAAGTATGTCCTTTATGAAGGCATAGAGCCTTTACTACATGAAAATGAAAATTAATGAATACACTGTGTACAGTAATTTACCTGATAAGACAGACCTCAGAAAAATACTTGATGAGGCATAAAGCTGTCTATAATGAAAATTAATTAACTAAGGATTTTTTTGTCCTGCCAGGGTGTGGCTGAGTTATCTGGACTGCCGGGTTATCGAGTGCCGAGTTTTCGAGACTCTACTGTAATATACTCCATTTAGCTATAAAATTTATTGTATAATATTTATTCATTTCATAATGGTTGAATGATTGGTTATTTCTATGAACATAGTATGGGGCAAATATGTATTTTTGACGAGAATATGTCTCGTCTTTAAAATCGCACTGCTGTCAATGGCTGCACACCTTAGAGGTATGAAGGAGTACGTCTTGGTGATTTCGTTTGCTGAATATGGCTGACCAAGCATAGCCATCTGCAGATGGCAAGAAGTAATGCTGCAATCTTTAATAAGAAAGTATATAAGAATCTGTTTTGAAATGGCTTTTTTCACCGTTCTGAAGCTATATAATTTTACAGTTGTGGATTAATAACAGGATAAACTACTTTTATGTAATAGTGTTTAATTTTTAATTTTAATAATTCAGCAATTATAAAAAGATGAAATTGTTAATTAGAATAAAAAATAATTAAAAATTTGTTTGCAAAATTTGCAAAATTTCCTACCTCTAGATAAATTAATTAGTTTCTAATAATTTACATAGCCATACAATAGCCTGATAATCTGGCAGATTGTTTGGTAAAATTGAGTCTTATTACTTCACAGGATTTTCTACAGCTACAATACACCACTTTTATTCAATTGGGCTTCCCTATTTGTGGACAGCAACTGCTAGTTATGACTGATCTTATATGGATAACAATGCACCAACTTTCTCAGTGTGCCATAGCATATACCCAACTGCTATGATGCTGCATGTGCACCAATTAAAAAACCAGTTGTTATGAAATGGCTGGGCTGAGATGTTAAATAGTGTGGATTATTGGTTAACACTAGAATTATGGATGAGGTCAATTTGACTCTGCTCACACATTGTTTTTATAGTAGTTCATTTGCTATGTTCATGTCATATCTGATTGGCTTAAAATTTTATGAATTTTTATGATTTAGTGCCATTACTAATTAGTAAAAATTAATCAAATAACTTTAAATAAATCCAAGAAAATTGATTATATACAAATAATTATGGTCAAGAGTCAATTTGACCTCATACATTATACAGTAGAGCGTTGTTTATTCGAAAGTCGGTTATTCGAAACGTCAGTTATCCAAAATAATTCCAGTCCGCAAATTTCAATTTTCGCTAGTGCTGTGGCGCTGCAATCTTTGGCTATATCTTGGGCTACTCCAATATTTTTTTGTTGATGTGTGTGTTTTAGCTGGCAGCACTGGCACTTTTGTGTGGTGTTTTTCTGAGGACTGTTTGTCATGCTGAATCGAACATTTTTGATAGTAGATTAACTTCTAAAGTATAATTTTTTTTTGTTTTTATATTTTTCAATATATTTATTTTGTTTGTAAAAAAAGTAAAGAAATAATTTTTAACGATACAATAGCCACGATTATTATTTTAAAAAGTTTACTTTAGGCTTAACATCGATGAAAATTCAATGCAAAGCAACATGCAATGCAGAAAAATTTTAACATGGGATAGGTTAATATATTTTTTTGTACATAATCGGTTATCCGAAAAATAAGTTGTCCGAACAACCCCAGTCCCCAATTGATTCAGATAAACAACGCTCTACTGTACATGTATTTTGATATTTCCCTCTGATGACTGACATACCTTATTCAAAACCTTTTTCTTTAGTCAGATGAAACTGCTAATGAAAGAAATATTCTGGTAGAAACTGTTTGTTTGTTTGGTGATCAAGCATTGTGAAAAAAGCTCTTTGCTTGCATATAGCTCTTGATCCAGAAATGCCTTTCATATCTCCAAGATTTATTTGAAAATGAATCAGGGAAATGATACTGCTGAATCTGAAGGCAATGAAAACAAGTATGTTTCTGAGAAAAGTCCAGAATTGAATTGGAAGTCATTCAGATGGAGATGAGACTTCAAATTCCTACTGCTTCTGAATCAGTTCACTACCATTTCACTGGCTTAAGTACTAATCAGGATGCTGAACAGTCTAGACAAGGAGAAATAAAATGTGAAAGAGGAATTGACTATTGGTGTCTGTGCACCCATGGCCACATTGATTGCTGCAATGTCTACTTGTCTTTAAATTGGACAAAAAGAACAGATGGCTTCAGCCTATAACATAACAAAATTCAGTGTTGACATATGAAACCAGATAGCTTAAAAATACTCTTTTAAGCTTTCATCAAGAAGATGGTCAATTCAGGTTTTTTCAATGTACTGGACATGGTAATATTACACTTCTGGATTTTATATAGGGAAATGACTTTGTCAAACATTAGCCACCAAAATTTTATATTGCAGCTTTGTGAAGAACTACTCTAAACATAGACAATGCAAACAACATGCAAATGAACAAATTCTCATGGAAACCAGATTGGGGCCATCAACAAGTAGAAAACAATAAAAATGCAAGGGAAACAAGATCCTTGGCATGTTTCACATGCAAAAAGCCAGTCTATGGAACATGTTGAAATAAGAAGCAACACTTCTGCAGAAATTGTGATGCTGACAACTGAAAGGGAACTTTTACAATGTGCTAATAAGAATGAATTTTAAAATATAGTAAGATATATTCTGTGTACCATATTGAATTTTATGTATAAAGTGCATTTTAGTGAAGTTCTTGTGATTTTGAACTATGAACAACAATATACTCTAAATTAACCTCGGACTTTTTAATCAAGAGTACAGAACTTTTATTGTCATTTGAAAGAAATTTGTGGGCTTCACAAAGTTTAGAAAGTTCATATGAGATATGTAAGTAAAAAGAAAGATAAATTTCCAAAATAAAATTGAGAAAAGATGACATTTGATGATACTGCCAATCCAATCACAAACATATCTCTGGAGGCTTTGCACCGATAGAATGCTGCCACAAACTTAGAAAATTTTACTAAAATTAAAAATGCATATTTTATATTTATCATTTATAATAAAATTTGATGATAAATTTAGCATAGTGTCAAATGGTTTTAAAACATGGAATTTTGCAACTAATAAATGTGGAATTTATTTATTGATGATTAAACAAAATTTCACCATATAATTATAATAATGCACCCAATTTTACAGCACTTTGCAATTCTGCTGATTTGATTTCTATTGTAACTTTCCATAAGAGTAATATAGTTTCTAAATATGTTAAACAATTTGATACCTCTACTATTGTACTCAATTCATTTCATTTTTACAAAATGCATAAAAGTGAAGTACTGACAATAATCATAATAATAATATAATATAAAAAATGGTGATGGTGGTGATGATGATAATTGAGTGGCAATAATATATAGTTTATGATGATTATAAATAAATTGTGCAATAAGAATAAATAAAAATTATACTTGTAGATATCGGTCATATTGGAGTGGAATTAATAAAATGTGATAATATGAGGCTCTGGACAGGTCCGAACCCTCACTAAAATTCGTGTTAAAATAATTGTTTTAAAGAAAATAATATAGTAGTTAGAAATAGATTTTTATTTTATGAAAACGTGACGCTAACTTTTAAACAATAGAAGAATGTAAGTTCGTCGACCATCTCCGGTTGGAGATCGAA